GTAAGAAACCGATAAAAAAACTATTTCTATGCACCGACAGCGCCGAAGACGAAGTCTACACACCAGAAGCAGCTGAAGCGACAATGTCTCTATTTATGAAAAGGAAAAAACAATTGATCCAATTAAAAATAATCTTAAAAATGAGAAAAAATCTACCTCTCCTCGATATCCTCCCCAACGAGGCTATCGTACCCTCGTAAAAAGATAAACATGCGCTGTCCAGAATGTCGAGATTCTTCGGGTGGAAAAGCCTAGACGCAGAAAAATCGTCAATACCAGGCAACGAACATATCATAACATACAGGGTGTGCCAAAAAATGTATCAAAGTTTTATTGTTATTAACTCTTTTGTCAAAGAGTCTTTCGAGAAGCTTGAGGTACTATTTTGTAGAGCAGGCTTCAACTTAGAATTACATGGCGCGAATCACCGATCCCTCTTCATTACTGTAGGATTACGGTGGGAACTTTGAATAGGGTCTAAAGCCATGCAGGGGATATTTTGGCACAGAAAGGAAACAAAACGATCTGAAACTCTCACGTTAGCCTAAATAGAGCTGCTGATTTCAAATATGAAGCTTGCATGTTACTATAATGCTTCCTTAAAAAATGACAGGTAAGCAGTTGCAGTCGTTTTTTCGATGTTGCTAAGAAATGTGATTACACCTTTCAAAAAGCTTCACAATCTTGTACAAAGTTGATTATCAAACACAGCGTCCACAAAAACCCTATTATACAAGTTTTCAAATTTTCTCGTAATTTATTCAAAACGACAGCTTTTTCACAGTGGACACGCCAGAAGTTCCTACCGTAACCTACAGTAACAAAAAGCGATCGTGGATTCACGTCGTATTGTGAATCTAAGTTTAGCCAGCTCTAGAAAATGGACCTGAAGGTTTTCGGAAGACTGACAAGAGAATTACTAACGATCAAACTTTCGATATATTTTTTGGGGAGACTCTGTATAAGGCAGTTAAGAAGCAAAAATTTACCAAAAATAACTGCCGGTTTATTCGCCGTTTTTCCACATCGGACAGCTCAGAACAAGGAGAGCCACAACATTCCTCACGTGAGTCTTCTGCGTCGCAGATTGAGATTGGCATTTCTAGAATTGCAAAGAAAATGGTGGCATAATGCAATACGAGATAAAGTGATCCAGATGTACATTGCTCTATTTCTAGACCCTAACCAGCTCATTTCAAATGAAAGCATTTCACACTTACTATAGGCATGAACTATACGATGAGGATTCGGTCCGACGCACAAAGCCACTTCACGGATCGAGCGACGATACTTCGACCGAAAAACGCTTTGCAGAACTTCTCTGACCTCAAACGTATGCTACGTAAATTGCAAA